TTCATCAAAGACTTGGGGGTTTGTTTGCTGAGGAGTAGAAAGGGATGAAAAGATAAGAGAAACTGTTTATTTTTGAAGTTATATGTGTTTTTTTGCAAAGCAAAGTTAAACCCTGACAACCAACCAGCAGGGGGGAAAAAAACCCAAAACCTGGAGGAGTCAGTGACAACGCAGAGATTATATTTTAATTTTTTTTTCAAGGATTTTTTTTTTTCTCCTGTAAAATGGCTTGTACTTCCACAGGTACAACAGCAAGGAAATTCATTCATTCCATTGCACATGGTGCATAAAAAAAAAGCAGCCTTACCATCTAAGCTCTTTGAAGACTTGTTTTTATAGGTATTCTTCACAAGGATATCTGCAAACTGTTCGCAACTCCAATTTCTATTTTCCTCAAAGAGCAAAGCAAGCCTGAAGGCAGCTTTTTAATTCTCTTGTTTGTTTTCTTTCCAAGCTCTATTTACTTGTTTACCTGCAACTACACGGATAAATAGAAAGTGAGAGGAACCACGAACTCACCAGAGGCTGAACACTGAGCACACAAGGAGCAGGAGGACTCCTTGGCCAGGACACCACAGAATAGTTGGGCTGTCCACACCTATTTGGCTCAAGCACCTCCCAGGCTTCTGTTCTACCTGCTCTGATCAACAGCTCCATCCTGCTTCACACCCAGTGCAGTGTGTTAACAATGGTCTTGTCAAAATCAGATTTAACCACTGGTGACAGAGTGTTCCTTTACAGAAAACAGACAAGCACAGCTCATTTCAGAAGCATATTTGCAGTTCAACTATAAGCAAGGGCTGGAGTTAAGCCAGGTCAGTTTTTCCTACCACACTAAAAACACATCAAAATGCCTCCATCACTTCTCATGGTGGCCAAATCACTCCCAACAGTGCTCTGACCCCAGAAAAGTGTTCGAGCTACAAACCAGATGAACAGAAAAGAGTCCTGAAAAACCTTCCTTCCACTTCCAGAACAAAAAAAAAAAAAGGGTGAGGAAAGCAATCAGAGCTACTGCAGCAGAACTAAAGGGGGAGTTACCACAGCTAAACCCAGTTTCTTTTGGGTGGTGTGTGGAGTTTATGAAAAATAAAGAAGTTCTACTCAAACTGTAGCAGTTTCTCACTAGGATCCACTCAGCACCTCTGCTCCTCGCTCAGGCTCTAGAGCACAGCCCTGAGGAATCCCAGAACTGCCAGGAAAACCCCAAAGAGCCCCCCCAAGGCCTTCCCATAGCCTCCCAGAGCTTCCTAAAAAAAACTGAGGAGAACCCTTTTAAAGTGTGAACCAGGTCTGAAGGCAGGACAAGCTAGAGTCTGATTCTCATCTGCCCCTGGGAGGCCTTCAAGGTGGGTCTGTGCTGACTGGAACCAGCCAGGCAATGGCTTTTGTCTCAGCTCTGAGCCTTTCCCACCCTCACAAAGAAACCATAAATCCTCCTTCAGTTCCTCTGCCAGCACAGTGCTGTTACTGTACCCTGTGGCACAAAGTGACCACGCTGGAAAGAGATTTGAGATTAAAATGTAGCATTGTGCCAACTCCTCTGTCCAACCTGGATCACAATCCAACATAAGAACAACTGCTTACTGCTCAGTTTCTGGTTAGACTTCATCCCCCCATGGCAAAGCTGCCAGGAAAAAGGGGAGCATTAGAACTCCAGCGTGCAGGGATATGACAGATTTTTTTTCTTTTAAAGATCAGACTAGAAAAATACTTTTAGCTGTATGTTAACACAGTCAAAGCTGGTTTTGAAGCATTCAAATAGAATCAACAGGAATAGGTGAATAAAAGCCTTACAGAACACATTGCCAGCACTTGAAATGGAAAATCATATCACTAAAATAAACTTTCAGAACAAAGTTGGAGGGTGGTTCTCAAATTTACTCAGTCCAAACAGAGCCAGTTTTATTTATCCAGAAGCTACTCTCACCTGTCAAGTTACTGAGCCAGTGAAATTGTGTCTTTACTGAGATGAGGGAAGAAGGGGCCAAGCAAGCACATGGTCCACCATTCCTTAGAGGAGCACGTGGGGCAGTAGTGCTTGAGAAAAATAATGCTACAAACCCTTCTGCCTTCCCAGTAAATCCAGCTCTGCGGGATTCACCCTAAATTTGAATACTGGTTAATGGCAAAGTACCTGGATTCATGCACAGGAGCTGTGGAAGTTTGTTTCCTGGACAGGACAGGAGTTTTCCTTCTTGCAGTGTTTACTGTGTTATACAGAACTGCCGACAGTGAAAGAAAACAAAATTCTCAGTTAAAACACAGTCCTCCCAAAGGGGCACTCCCCTGGGATACCAACCAGAGGCCAGTCTCCCACCCCAGCCAGCTGGTGGGATGGTGTGTGAGCATTTCCAGCCAGGAATCCTCTGCCACACGAAGCCACACAAAGCCCTGGAGCAGCAGATGAACTGCAACAGCCAAGGAGGGAAGTACAGCAGCCTGCCCACGGAACCTCTGCACGTTCACAATCCATCTACACCCAGGAGACTGCAGGGGCAGGGCGTGAGCAGCTCAGCACAGCTGCCACCTCGCACTTGCGAAGCTGTCACACACACAGCTCGAGGCCTGTGGCTACCAGCCTGAACGGCTCGTGGCCTTAATTCAACAAGGAACATTTCCTGAAGCTGTGTTTTCGTAGCATCTCATGTGAGAAAAAAGTATTTCAGAGCATCTAACAAGAATGAGGTGGAGGTGAGACTGCCTCTCACAGATGAGGTATATGCTAAATAGAAACAATGCTGCAATATTCACACGGGACCTGAGGAACTTGTACTGAATATCAACAAGGAAGAGGCACCTTCACGTTCCTGACAGAAACCACCAGGAGGAACTGAAGGCCAAAGGCATTTCTTCCCAGTCTGGTTGGGCTGCCACTCTTAACGAAGATTAGCCAGCCCCAAGGATGTCTTGTGGGAGTGAGGACTTGGAATATGGAATTGTGAGAGGATCTCATTGAAAAGGCACGAGGAAGAAGCATAAAGTTTTAGGTTAATGAGATTCATCCTATCTCCAATTGCTGAGTGGGACAAAAAAAGCCTGTACAGGTTGGGATTTTTGAAAGAAAACGCTGCAGAAAAAGCCTTTAACAGCAAAAGCAGGAAAAGAAAAGTAAAGCTATTTTCAAATTATTAAAATGCTCAACATTTATACAGCAAAATGATATTAAAAACAGCAGCAGACAAAGTACGTCCCATCACCATGGGCAAGGGACAAGTAAAATGTTTATAAGGTTAACTATAAAACAATTTTACAACCAAAATATGAACAGGCCAGTTCAAGTATATATATATATACAGAATATATTAAAATCATATAAATTATATATTTATACAAAGGGCACAAATATAGCAAAGAGCTATAGTTGATTAAACAGAACTGAGCGTGAATGATCGATGTCATCTAGAGATGTTATAATTTTCTCCCAAATTATATTTTTTTATTTTATTTTTTTTAAAAAAAGCTTGGATAGATTGATACCTCAGATACCAAGAGTACAGAAAGCAAAAGGAAAACAAACCCACAAATCAAAGAGTTATCACTCTGCATGAAATGAAACTAACAGTGGGCGGGGTACACCTCATATGAAATTCTGATTTAATTATTACCATAGCAAACATTTATCAGCTCTCTTAAAAAGTCAGGAATTTCAAGTGATCCACTTCAGATGTACCACCCTGGTGCATATATTTGATTAATGTCATTTGATTTGCAAACATTTGAAAAGAAATAAATAAAAAATGGATACAAACACATCTCAATCTGCAAAAAAAAAAAAAAAGGGGACAGATGGCAGCAAGTTGAAAACCAAACAGAAACACTGAGCTGAACTAGACACGTGCTCTCCTGACAGCATTTTGCTAGAAGGTGAGCTTAAAAAAATAACTTATTAATTGCTTTATTTCAAAATATAACAGCGTATAACCACAACCCACTGAAGCACTTGAGAATCTAAAGTCTCATCCATGGGCTTATATTTAAACATGACCTAAGTGCTCCCCTGAATTCAGGTCTCTGTACATGAGTTCTGTGTAAACTGTGCCTAAATATTCTGTGTTGCTGCGGCACCACCCCTTAATTAACACAGGTTTGAAAGGCTTGCTACATCTCAATGAACCCAACGGCCCTGGGCATGCGAGGAGCAGGTAGGGCAAGCTAAGTTAAGCAGACATAAAAAGGCCAGACTGCACATATACAGAACACCAGCTTAAAGACCAGAACTGAGAATGTAAAAACAAGTAAAGCAGTTTCACCAGAGGCAGGTTAAAGAGGAAGGGAGGAGGAAAGGGGAAAAAAAAAGCCATATACTATATATAAAGAACAGTGGATATCTATTACACTGAAAGGAAATCAATGCAGACAGGATTTCCTCAGTTTCAAGTAATCTTTTCTTTGATGCCTTTTTGGCCAGCTGCGTTATACCGTAAGAGATAGTTTAATAGCTTTTATAGTCTGCAATTTAGGCAGCTGATTTTTTTTAACTTACATATCCAATTATCTCTAGTGAACATTCACCTACGGTTGTCCACACATTCTGCATTGGCTCCTTGAGAAACTATTCAAGTTAAATTATATTGCAAATTAAAGACAGGTACATTCTGCGTGTTCTTTCTAGATTTGAAAAATAGCTTTTAAAGGCTTGTCAAAGTTTAGAAGAAAAAATGTTTTCCATTAAAAAAATCTTAGCTTAAAAAAATCATTAAGACACCTTTTTTTTTTTTCTGATCCAGGGTACTAATAAAAAGATTACAAATATACTACAATTTGACCAAGAAGACTTCATGAATATGCTGCTTTTGAGCATGCAACACCACCGATCTCTGTCAAGTTCCAGGTATCAATGTATACCAATTCCACCACGGTCCCTTCTCAAGCCCCTTGTCGGTTCCCCGTCCCCACCCTACCACCCTAATTAATACCATTATAAAAAAAGGTAAAATCTAAGAGTTAGTGGCAAAAATCTTCACAGTAAGTTGTTACAGAAAACGTTATCGCAGGCATCAGTCGATGGGGCCCTGAAAAATGAGCTTGACGCAGTTGTGCTCCCCGGCCAGCTGCGTGGCACAGAAGGGGCAGGCGGCGTGGAAGGCGTGAGTCCCGTGGGGCAGAGGGATCTGAGACCAGTACTTGGCCGACTTCTCGGAGCAGACGTGTCCGCAGGGGGTGAAGGCATGGGTGGGGGGCCCGGCGTCCACGTAAAACCCCGCCT